ATGGCTGTCCATAAATATGGACGGGCGTCCATTAATTATGGACGCTCGTCCACACTGAAGGGACGTCGTCCACCTTTATGGACGGCCATCATTGTTTAATTTTATTTTTAAAAGCAAAAGAATGGACGGGCGTCCATTACTTACGGACGCCCGTCCACAATTAAAGGACAGCCGTCCACAATTTGTGGACGGCCATCCATAGTTTTTATTTTAATTTGAAACACAAAAAATGGACGGGCGTCCATTACTTACGGACCCCTCCACAGTGAAAGGACGGCCGTCCAAAGATTTTCTTTTTTGATTTGTAAAACCAAAATAGGACGAGCGTCCATTTCTTACGGACCCCATCCAAATAAGGGACGGCTGTCCACAATGGGTGACGGGCGTCCCCAAGTTTTTTTTTTTTTTAATTTTCATATTTGGGTCAGGGCCGTCCATAATGGATGGACGGTCGTCCCTAATGTTTATAAAATTTTTTTATTGTATTTTACTTATGGACGTGTCCTTTAAATGGGGACGCTCGTCCTGCGTATATGGACCCCCGTCCATATAATATGGACGGAGTCCATGTGAGTGAACGACCGTCCATATTTGATGGACGGCCGTTCACTAGAAAAATTTATAGAAAAAATCAGGCTTCTGGACTGCTGGTGTGAGTCAGGGGTACACGTAGACCAGTACACATTTTCGATGCAAAATACGGTGTTAGTAGCCTTGTTGATGTTATAATGTTTTGAGTATAGGAATATTAAACCTGGAACAAAGAAACATAAACCTTCTTGAAACCATGGTTTTAAAACGGCTGGTCCAACCAGGAACTGGTCTCTAATTCGATCCACTAAATGGCTAAAACTTGTTTTAGCCATTGGACAGGGTTAACTTGGGGTTGAATCGATGGGAACAGTATCAAATTGCGATTCAATTGTCGAGTCAAAGATCAGATTGCATAAGAGGCCCATTCCAAAATAAAGATGTTCGTTCATGTGCAATAAACACTCGTTACTAACAAGTAGAACGTCCCATATCAAACCTAGAACTCAAATTTTATTATTATTAAGTTTTAAAATTTTATTATATCATGCTGATGTCAACATATATCATCGGTTTGATCCCCTATTGAACTAATTGGACCGGCCCCTTGACCGGGTCAAGGCCCGGTCCGGTTATAAAAATATATGCATGAAACTTGAAAAGTTGGCTGGGGCCGCAGCAAAGGCCCATACATTTCAGCCCAATTACGAAATATCTATTTTGGTCATTTTCCTGCCTAACAAATTAACGTGGTCCTGGTGGAACATCTGCAGACATTATTGTGGCAGAAGGCCAACCACTCGATTCTTAGAAATTTTGTCCGTTGAGCATCGGTTCTGCTTAGCTCAATTTAACTGGCCAATATCACAACCTTGAAAATTTGGCCTAGTTTTCGGGAGGTAAACGTAAAAGGACAAAACAAAAAAAAATCAGCCTTGTATAATTAATATATATTTCGATTTACCGTATGTGAAATGGGGAGAAAATGTATATATAAAATTTGTGTTTAATCAAATGGTCTCGCAATTAAGAAGTGGAGTTAATGACGCAGGAAATAGTCTCAGCTTAAGACTTTTAGCTCAAAGACAATCTATATGCAATTTAAAATGTATACAGCACAACTTCATCTAACGACTTATCTCAGTCTCAGTCTCAGTCTCATTTGTGCACCTATTTTTATTAACTCTCCAATATATATATTAATATACTTGTTTATATACCATTCAGCCTCCATTTTGGAACGCTGTTTAACTTAGACAGCTCCAAGTTTTTGTATCTTCCCCCATTTCCTGGTGATGACTTTCGTAGCTTGCGCTTGTTAAATTCTTCTCTTATTAATTATATTATATATAATCATGGAATATGTAGCCTTCTGCTTAACTCTCACTAATATTCATCTCTGAAACACTGGCCTTGACGATCTTTTTTCTTTGCTCTCTTCTTGTTTCCCGTTTATCTCTTTCTTCTGTAGAATTCATCTTTAATGATTCAATGAAACCCAGCTCAGAAATTCAGGAGATCTAGACGTGGAGGGGCTACTGTTTATAAACCCAACGTGCACTCAAACTCCTACACATTCCCCATGTTGTGGGCCATGCATTTTATTCCAACCAATACAACCCAAATTCTCTTTCAGTACACATTTTGTTTTTGCAATTGTTACTCAAACTCTAGGCCAAAGGCTATGGTCTTGCCTTCACAATCGCTCCTTCAACAAAGCTTCCAGGGGCTGAGCCTGAACATTGCTTGGGGCTTTTCAACCGAGCGAACGATGGCAATTCCACAACCATATTTTTGCAGTGAGTTTGACACGGTTAATGGTCATAATGAGAACACAGACTCTAAAGGAAACCATGTTGGAATCAACATCAATGGCATGCGTTCGGTATTCTAGAGCCAGCCGCTTATTATGACCCAACAAGGAAGAGATTAACCTGGAGAGTGGCAGTGCTATCCAAGCTTGGATAGAGTATGATGCTGTGACTACACTTGTGAACGTAACGATATGCCCTATGTGGAGAAAGAACCCTCTAAACCTCTCATATCTCAACGCTTAGATGATCTTTCAACTGTTTACTGAAAACTGTTTGTTGGTTTGTCTCCGCATCCACGGAGAAAAACAAGCTCTCATTACATCTTAGTGTTGAAAAATGGCTTTTAGCAAAATCACATGGGGTAAAGTGATAATGGAGAAAGGTTTAGGGACTATATGTAATAGGCCAAAATGAGTTAGTTTGTCCCACATTGAAAAGGAATGAAAAGTGGGAAACTTTGGGGCCTAATATAAGGACCTAAATCAATTTTAATTGTATCCCAAGATGTAATTCCATTATACTTCTTTTGTTTAGGGTTCTTCCTTTAAGGACCCTTTAGTTTTAAGTTTTGTTTTATCTCCCCTTTGTTTTGGTATTTGTTTTATTGCCCAAAAGTTTGTAATATTGTTTGGAGATATGGAGTTTTCTTTTGCAGCGCCCGGGACGTAGGTTTCAATACCGAACCTCGTTAATTCCTGGTATTCTTTATTTTGCATTTAATTTGGCTATTTATTATGCTTTACTATTGTTTATATTATATTCAATAACTAGCGTTAGAGTTTATGTTTTCCGTTGCATAACAATTGGTATCAGAGCTTAGGTTTAGGACAGTGAGTAGCTATTTGTATGGTTATATGCATGTCTAGGAAAATTCTGTCAAAAGACGATAATATCTAAGGAGACTGGATTTTAAGTGGACCATTGGTGACCCCTCCATTGTTTCCTGGATTTTCCTAGTGTGTATTTAATCATTTCAGCACTTATACTACCTAGGGCTATTGTTGATTTGTTGTTAGCTATTGAATATAATAATTGTGGAGCTTGGTTATTGGGAACTTTGTTTACCAAGCTATTCAGTAAGGCATAAATGGCATCATTGTCTGAGGATTCCGTCCGAGCATCACCGTCCGTGGCACACCATCCGCACCAGTAAAGATGATAACGGTTTCAAATGCAAAAAGGATGTTGAAAAATTTGATGGCCAAATAATTTTGGCTTGTGCAGGTGAGGTAATGGATAGCTTGTATCAGCAGGATCTAGATATCGTTCTGGAGGAGGAAAACCAAAAGATGTCTTTGAGAAAGACTGGGTGGGTTGAATGTAAAACGTGTGGGATGATTCGCTCATGTCTTTTTAGAGGGAAATATCCTTCATGAAAGAGACGTCTGCCAATAATTTGGAAGGCGCTGGAAAACAAATACATGAAGAGAAGTTGAGAATCGCTCTATTTGATGAAAAGACTGTTTCGTCTTCAGTTGACCAGGTACGAATATCAGTAGCCATATTGATACATTTAACAGATTAATTGCTGATTTGTTAATTGGAGAAACATTCAAAGATGAGCATAAGGCTATGTTGTTAATTGGATCTCTTCCAGATGAGTTGACTCTTAGTATTACACTTCTTCATGGGAAAGAAAAATTGTCTTTTGAAGAAGTTTGTTCTGCTCTGCCCAATCATGAAATTCGGAAGAAGGATCAGAAGGAGAATGAGATGAGTCACGAAGCCTGTAGCAGGAGGGTGGAGTCAAAGTGGTAAGAATGAGAGAAGAGGAAGATCTCGTTCAAAGGGAAAACTCAATATGGGATCAATGTGCCTTTTGTCGTGAGAAAGGGCATTGGAAAAATATGTCCGAAATTGCAAAAGAAAGAGGCAAGCTACTTCTGATGCATGCGTTATTGAGCGTGAAGAGGATGAGTCGATTTCTGTAGTTAGCCTGCCATCCACCTCTGGATCAAATGAGTGGATTATGGATTCAGGTAGTACCTATCATATGTGTCCTCACCAGACTGGTTCTTTAATTTTGAAGAACGTGATGGAGTTGTTTATATGGCAATGAGATGCTTGTAAAACAAATGGGATAGGTTCAATTCGGTTTGAAGAATCATGATGGCTCACTAGAATTCTGCAGATGTTCGGTATGTACCGAAGTTGAAAAAGAATCTCATATCTTTGGGAGCCTTGGAATCTAAAGGCTTCACGTGAATAGGCGAGAATTCTAAAAGTTTCTTTAGACCTCTTGTGTAATGAAAGCAGAAGGAGAAACATTGTATTACTATAATGGTAGTACAGTTATTGAACGGCAGCTGCAGTCTACATGAGGATACAGATTCAGAAATGCTCAAGCTGTGGCATATGTGTGTGGAGCATACTCAGCAGCAGGTGGAGTTTGAAACACAGTTGAACCAGATAGTGTCCATAAGACAGAAAGTGATTCTGAGGTGACTAATGTGGATACTATGATGAAAGGAGATTTTACCCCAAGAATCTCCTCAGCAACAGGAATTGATTGCATACAATAGGCCAAGACGAGAAATTCGCAAGCCTGTTCGTTTCGCTAATATGGTGGCTTATGCACTTCCAATCGTAGATGTTGATATTCTTACTACTTATAAGAAGTAGTTAGAGTTCAAATTGTGAATCAGAGAACGCGCCATGAATGATGAAATGCGATCCCTACATAAGAGGCGATTGGGTGCAAATGGGTGTATGCAAAGAAGAGAATTTCCTAATAGAGAAGATGTTCGGCACAAGGTTAGGTTGGTAGTAAAGGGATACGCTCAAATGGAAGGATTTGATTACAGTGAATTTTTTTCTCCTATGGTAAGTATTCTTCCATTCTAATTTTGCTAACCTTGGTGGCACAGTTTGATTTTGAACTGTTCAATTGGATTTGCAATCGTGTTTTCACATGATAGTTGGGAAGAGAAAATCTACAAGACTCAGCCAATGATATAGGGTTGCTGGAAAGAAACTTGGGTTTGCAATTGAAGAAATCGCTATATAGTTTGAAGCAGTCACCAAGACAGTGGTACAAGCGATTTGATCAATGTATGGGCCATGGGTTCACAAGGCCTGATATTTCCAAGCAGTTAGTATGGTGACAGGCATATCTATGATCCTGGTAAAGGCCATTTGCAAGTTGTGAAATGGTTTCTACAGTATATTTTATTAGATATTGTTTAGTTTTAGTGGATGTTATATTGAAATAGGAAAATGTTCTCCAGAAGATTGGCACCAGAAGATAATCCTACAGACATTTGACTTCAGTAGTGACAAGGGTCAAGTTCATTTATTGTTTTAACTTGATCAACATCCTGCGAGCTTGACTGGTCTTTTGGTGCTTTTGAAGGTGTTGCAAAATTTGGCAGAAGAATACAAAACTTTGAAGATTTGCTAATTCGCCAAGGTGGAGATTTGTTGAAAAAGGGCTTTTAGCAAATCACATGGGGTAGAAGTGATAATGGAGAAAGGTTTAGGGACTTATATTAATGGCCAAAATGAGTTATTTGTCCCACATTGAAAAGGAATGAAAAGTGGGAAACTTTTGGGGCCTATATATAGCCTAAATCAATGTTAATTGTATCCCAAGATGTAATTCCATTATACTTCTTTTGTTTAGGGTTCTTCCTTTAAGGACCCTTTGTTTGTAAGTTTTGTTGTATCTCCCCTTTGTTTGGGTATTTTGTTGTATTGCCCAAAAGTTTGTAATATTGTTTGGAGATAGTGAGTTTTCTTTTGCAGCGCCCGAGGACGTAATTTTCAATACCGAACCTCGTTAATTCCTGTTATTCTTTATTTTGCATTTAATTTTGGCTATTTATTTATGCTTTACTACTTTTTATTATATTCAATAGCTAGCGTTAGTAGTTTTTTCCGTTGCATAACACTTAGGATGGAGTTTTTCCATGAATGGAGAAGCTACACCTCTCAATCTTTCACTGCTTCCAGAGCCACCAGCATTGAAGAGATCATCACTAGTTCAACTCCACTTGAAGATTCTTATTGCTGTGTTATCCGCGGTTCTTGTTCTATTTTTGGACTATTGCTTTGTTTCAACTATATAGAAGATAACACAGTTTGAGATTCTTGAAGATTGGGAATTGGATTGTCCTCACAGGTTCAGATACGAGATCTTCACATCGCAACAAAGGGTTTCAAAGAGACCGAACTGTTAGGAGTCGTGGGTTTTGGTGCAGTTTATAAAGGTGTGTTACCTTCAACTGGAAACCAAGTTGCTGCAAAGAAGATTTCACCCAATTCAATCCAAGGAATCAAGAGAATTCGCAGCGGAATCGAATGCCTGGACGATTGAGGCATAAACATTTGGTCAATCTCCAAGGATGGTGCAAGCGAAAGAGTGATCTTTTACTAGTCTACGATTACATTCCAAATGGAAGCCTTAACTTTCTCCTCATCGATGCCAAAAACATATTGTATTGAGCTGGGAACACAGGTCAACATCATCAAAGGCTAGCCTCCGGCTATTATACTTACACGAAGAATGGGAACAGAGTAATCCACCGAACGTGAAGTCCAGCAATGTGCTAATCGATGCTGACATGAACGCAATGCAGTAGACATTTCTGCCTCGCCAGGCTTTACGATCACGGTCAACTGTCGCACACAACAAATGTTGTTGGCACCGTCGGCTACATTGCGCTCGAACTAGCTCGAACCGGCAAGGCCTCAACAAGAACAGATGTTTATGCATATGGGGTTTTACTTCTCGAAGTTGCTACAGGAAAAAGGCCACTTGAATCAGATAATTTCATACTGGTCGATTGGGTACTGGAGTTTCAACAATTAGGTCAAATTCTTGATGTCGTTGATCCAAAGTTGGGTTCAGATTACGCAGTTGAAGAGATGGAGTTGATGTTGGGACTGGGGCTACTTTGCTGCCATCACATTCCTGAAGCTAGGCCTACAATGAGACAAGTTTTGCGGTATCTAAACGGCGATGACTTGCTTCCTTTAATTAACTGGAGTTCTGTTAATTCTCAACGTTCTGAAATGAGCTCAGGATTCCTGGAAATTAACTCTAAAGATTATTCACATATTTCATCCTCCATGGGTGTCATCTCTGCAACTTCTTTAGATGCAGCTGGTAGATGAAGAGCCATCAAATGACCATCATACTGTTTTTTCTTTCTTCTTTTACATTTTCTTTGTGAATTGAATTCATAGTTACATTTTTGCGTACATATAATTGACTATAATCTAGTTCATAATTGCATTGGTTTAGTGGGTTAATTCTTGTTTAATGAATTAGATAAATGTGATGCGGTGCTTACTATATCGGGCAATTATTGAACTTATGATGGGTTTGGTTCATTATTTTGATACTTTTTAGAATAATATTTTGAAAAAAATTAAATTGGGCGGATGTAGGATTTAGAAATTAACAAAAATATCCCCTATGTTTGTTTATTTATTAAACACCTCTATAATAAAATATTAAAAGTTAACAAAAACACCCCTAACACACCTATTAAGTACGGATAGCCGGCCACCACCGCCGGAGGGTTGCTGGGGTATTTTTTCAATTTTTAAAAAAATATTTAGGGGTATGTAGTTAAATTAACAAATTTAAGGAGGTTTAAAAGAAATTGAATCATATAAAATAATATTTTGAAAATAAATCAATTTTACTGATAATAGTATTCTCAAGAGTGTAACAAACGGAGCCTTAATTATTTCAAGTTGTTGAGGTATGTTGAATCCACACTGTTTTGTCCTAAAAAGAAGCCTTTAAGTCGGACATATAGTAGATGGGTTCTCATACTATTGTTTGCTTTGGACTCTGGGTATCTCTGGACCTTGGTGCTTGCACAGTCTTATCTTGAAAAAGTGTCAAATGTCCTTGTACTATATCAACGAAGAAGGCGCTCATCTTCTAACCGATACGAGACTTTAGCATCAACACAACTAATTATAATTTATAGATAATGATCTAAATTAGACTAGGCATTTGGGACCGGGCTCAAAAGCCCAGCTCCAAAAACCAGTCCTAGGAGGCCTGGTCCCAAAACGGGACCAGGCCTAAGGAAGAGGGCCCGGGCCCTCCACCGGGCCCTCCTCCAAGGCCCGGGCCTGGGCCCAAAAGTTTTTTGTCTTTTATAAATTTAATCTTTTGTAAAATTACATTAAACCCAATAAAATATGTATAAATTTAAGGACTAAAATGAAATTTTATAAAATTTATTAAAAAAAAAAATTAACCGTTGGCTGCCAACGGTTACATTTATTATTTATATAATATAATTTTTTTTTTCATTTTCCCCCCACAACTACACTATAAATAACCCTAAAATCTTTAATTTTTTTCACACCAATCTCTCAATCTCTCATTCTTTCATTCTCTCAATCTCCCTACTCCAAATCTCCAATTAATTTTTCATTCAATTTATATTTATAATTTATTTATATTATTTATTTATATTATTCAAATTTTTTTCTATTTTTCAATGTCATCATAATTTCATATTATTATTTAATTTCTTTTCATTTTAATTATTTATTATTTTATCATAAATTTATAATGTCTTCCCCAANTCCACAATTTGTGGACGGCCATCCATAGTTTTTATTTTAATTTGAAACAACAAAAGAATGGACGGGCGTCCATTACTTACGGACGCCCGTCCACAGTGAAAGGACGGCCGTCCAAAGATTTTCTTTTTTGATTTGTAAAACCAAAATAATGGACGAGCGTCCATTTCTTACGGACGCCCATCCAAAAGTAAGGGACGGCTGTCCACAATTGGTGGACGGGCGTCCCCAAAGTTTTTTTTTTTTTTAATTTTCATATTTGGGTCAAGGGCCGTCCATAATGGATGGACGGTCGTCCCTAATGTTTATAAAATTTTTTTATTGTATTTTACTTATGGACGGGTGTCCTTTAAATGGGGACGCTCGTCCGTCGTATATGGACCCCCGTCCATATAATATGGACGGGAGTCCATGTGAGTGAACGACCGTCCATATTTGATGGACGGCCGTTCACTAGAAAAATATTTATAGAAAAATCAGGCGTCTGGACTGCTGGTGTGAGTCAGGGGTACACGTAGACCAGTACACATTTTCGATGCAAAATAATCGGTGTTAGTAGCCTTGTTGATGTTATAAATGTTTGAGTATAGGAATATTAAACCTGAGAACAAAGAAACATAAACCTTCTTGAAACCATGGTTTTAAAACGGCTGGTCCAACCAGGAACTGGTCTCTAATTCGATCCACTAAATGGCTAAAACTTGTTTTAGCCATTGGACAGGGTTAACTTGGGGTTGAATCGATGGAAACAGTATCGAATTGTGATTCAACTGTCGGGTCAAAGATCGGATTGCATAAGGATGCCCATTCCAAAATAAGGAATGTTCGTTCATGTGCAATAAACACTCGTTACTAACAAGTAGAACGTCCCATATCAAACCTAGAACTCAAATTTTATTAATTATTAAAGTTTTAAAATTTTATTATATCATGCTGATGTCAACATGATATCATCGGTTTGATCCGCCTATTGAACTAATTGGACCGGCCCCTTGACCGGGTCAAGGCCCGGTCCGGTTATAAAAAATATTGCATGAAACTTGAAAAGTATGGCTGAGGCCGCAGCAAAGGCCCATACATTTCAGCCCAATTACGAAAAGTCTATTTTGGTCATTTTCCTGCCTAACAAATTAACGTGGTCCTGGTGGAACATCTGCAGACATTATTGTGGCAGAAGGCCAACCACTCGATTCTTAGAAATTTTGTCCGTTGAGCATGCGGTTCTGCTTAGCTCAATTATACTGGCGCAATATCACAACCTTGAAAATTTTGGCCTAGTTTCTGGGAGGTAAACGTAAAAGGACAAAACAAAAAAAAATCAGCCTTGTATAATTAATATATATTTCGATTTACCGTATGTGAAATGGGGAGAAAATGTATATATAAAATTGTGTTGTATCAAATGGTCTCGCAATTAAGAAGTGGAGTTAATGACGCAAAGGAAATAGTCTCAGCTTAAAGACTTTTAGCTCAAAGACTAATCTATATGCAATTTAAAATGTATACAGCACAACTTCATCTAACGACTTATCTCAGTCTCAGTCTCAGTCTCATTTGTGCACCATATTTTTATTAACTCTCCAAATATATATATTAATATACTTGTTTATATACCATTCAGCCTCCATTTTGGAACGCTGTTTAGACTTAGACAGCTCCAAGTTTTTGTATCTTCCCCCATTTCCTGGTGATGACTTTCTGTAGCTTGCGCTTGTTAAATTCTTCTCTTATTAATTATATTATATATAATCATGGAATATGTAGCTCTTCTGCTTAACTCTCACTAATATTCATCTCTGAAACACATGGCCTTGACGATCTTTTTATCTTTGCTTCTCTTCTTGTTTCCCGTTTTAGCTCTTTCTTCTGTAGAATTCATCTTTAATGGATTCAATGAAACCCAGCTCAGAAATTCAGGAGATCTAGACGTGGAGGGGGCTACTGTTTATAAACCCAACGGTGCACTCAAACTCACTAACACATTCCCCTATGTTGTGGGCCATGCATTTTATTCCCAACCAATACAACCCAAAAATTCTTCTTTCAGTACACATTTTGTTTTTGCAATTGTTACTCAAACTCTAGGCCAAAGGCTATGGTCTTGCCTTCACAATCGCTCCTTCAACAAAGCTTCCAGGGGCTGAGCCTGAACATTGCTTGGGGCTTTTCAACCGAGCGAACGATGGCAATTCCACAAACCATATTTTTGCAGTGGAGTTTGACACGGTTAATGGTCATAATGAGAACACAGACTCTAAAGGAAACCATGTTGGAATCAACATCAATGGCATGCGTTCGGTATATCTAGAGCCAGCCGCTTATTATGACCCAACAAAGGAAGAGATTAACCTGGAGAGTGGCAGTGCTATCCAAGCTTGGATAGAGTATGATGCTGTGACTACACTTGTGAACGTAACGATATGCCCTATGTGGAGAAAGAAACCCTCTAAACCTCTCATATCTCAACGCTTAGATGATCTTTCAACTGTTTAACTGAAAACTGTTTGTTGGTTTCTCCGCATCCACGGGAGAAAAAGCAAGCTCTCATTACATCTTAGTGTTGAAAAATGGCTTTTAGCAAAATCACATGGGGTAGAAGTGATAATGGAGAAAGGTTTAGGGACTTATATGTAATAGGCAAATGAGTTAGTTTGTCCCACATTGAAAAGGAATAAAGTGGGAAACTTTTGGGGCCTATATATAAGGACCTAAATCAATGTTAATTGTATCCCAGATGTAATTCCATTATACTTCTTTTGTTAGGGTTCTTCCTTTAAGGACCCTTTAGTTTGTAAGTTTTGTTTTATCTCCCCTTTGTTTTGGGTATTTGTTGTATTGCCCAAGTTTGTAATATGTTTGGAGATAGTGGAGTTTTCTTTTGCAGCGCCCGAGACGTAGGTTTCAATACCGAACCTCGTTAATTCCTGGTATTCTTATTTTGCATTTAATTTGGCTATTTATTTATCTTTACACTTGTTATTTTATATTCAATAACTAGCGTTAGAGTTTATGTTTCCGTTGCATAACAATTGGTATCAGAGCTTAGGTTTAGGACAGTGAGTAGCTATTTGTATGGTATTGCATGTCTAGGAAAATTCTGTCAAAAAGACGATAAAAGTCTAAGGAGACTATTTTAAGTGGGACCATTTGTGACCCCTCCATTGTTTCCTGGGAATTTTCTAGTGTGTATTTAATCATTTCAGCACTTACTACTACCTAGGGCTATTGTTGATTTGTTGGTTAGCTATTGAATATAATATTTGTGGAGCTTGGTTATTGGGAACTTTGTTACCAAGCTAATTCAGTAAGGCATAAATGGCATCATTGTCTGAGGATTCATCGTCCGAGGCATCACCGTCCGTGGCACCACCATCCGCACCAGTAAAGATGATAACGGTTTCAAATGCAAAAATTGATGTTGAAAAATTTGATGGCAAAATAATTTTGGCTTGTGGCGAGTGAGGTAATGGATAGCTTGTATCAGCAGGATCTAGATATCGTTCTGGAGGAGGAAAACCAGAAGATGTCTTTGAGAAAGACTGGGTGAGGTTGAATGTAAAAGC